GGCTTACCTGAACATCTTCAAGAGACTGATGGAGGCCTACGAGGTACCCAAGGAATGCTGGGCTTATAGGTTGGCTCCCCAACTTACAGGAAAGGCCCAGCAGGCCTACGCAGCAGTGAGTAGTGACAGTGCAAAGAAGTACGACGAGGTCAAGACCGCCATCCTGAGAAGGTATAACATCAACGAGGAGACCTACAGATCAGGTTCAGATCATCTAGAAGGAAGGAGAAGGCTACATTGAGCTGGCGATTAGGATGTCTGACCTTCTTGAGCGCTGGACTGTAGGGTGTAAAAGCATGACGGAATTAAGGGAGAAGATGTTACTCGAGCAATTACTCAATGTGATGGAGCCGGAGCTAAGGATATGGGTGAATGAGAGGAAGCCCAAGTCAGCAGATGAGCTGCTACACTAGCGGATGACTACATGACAGCTAGAAGGATGACTGGGAAGAACTGAAAGGAGACAGGTGAAAAGGAGAAGACTGGTGGAGACTCAATTAAGCAAAAAGGTGGGCCTGATAGCAGGAGGTACCACATATGCAAACAACTGGACATCTTGCTTAAAACTGGACATCTTGCTTAAAACTGTCCCACTAAAAGAGAGCGAGAGGACGCCAGTACTAAAGATGAGGAAACTAAGAAAGGGAAACCTACACCAAGGAACATAAAGTCCTATAGCTGCGGGAATTCGGGCCACATGTCGATGCAGTGTCCAGATAAAGCTTGGTTCTGTGGTGGAGGAATCCCGAAACGAATGTCTAGACGTTCTGGTCTTCTAGAGAGGACTAGAGTGAAGGACATAGTGCTGGACACTGGGTTTACTAGGACTATGGTGCGATGTGACTTGGTACCAGAAAACAAACTACTAGAAGGAGAAGCAGTGGTAGTGAGGTGTGCTCATGGTGTGATACCGTGCTCTACCCCCTAGCTAAAATGGAGATAAAGCTTGGAAGTGACAGGATGGTGGTGACAGCGGCAGTGGCTGATTGTCTTCCTGTGTCAGTACTATTAGGAGTGGATGTTCCTGACTTGGGGAAACTGTTACATGGTGAGCATGGTGTGATGCATTCACATGGGGTAGAAGAGGCTCTAGTTGTAACAACAAGAAGTCGAGCAAGGCAGGAGGAGAGAGATGAGTTGGAGAGAGCTGAGAAAGAAGCTATGTCTGGTGGGGGTGCCAAAACCACCAGAGCTGACTTCCCCACCCGTAAGTGGTGGGAATGGGGAAGCTAGTGCTGAGGAGGATGCAGTTTTGGAAAGTATGGTGGCACAGCAGTATAATCCGTTGACGGATACAGTTCATCTCCCACACAATGGCTCCGGTAACGCCCGTCAACGGCCCTAGAGACGCCAGTTAACGGGCTAGCTAATTAAATTAGAATGACAGACTCCACCCATTAACCAAGTTTTTACATGGCAAAAATGGAGGATGAGATTGAAGAGACAAACTCCAACACTTCTAGCTCTAATAGGAAAGAGATTGTGTCATCTTTAATAAATTTATCAGAGTTTTTATGTGAAAAAGCACTAGAGCTCAAAGGGGTGGAAGGTTTGATAAATCGTGGCAAGAAATTACAAAAGAAAATGAAGCAGAATGAAGTGAAACAGAAGCACACTGTAGGGGTGACAAAGAACAATGTTGAGGTAATACTAGCTATTTTTTCTGTATAAAGAATATAAGCCACACAGGTTAGTTGTTGTTTGATGGAACAAGGAATGAAAGGCTTTGTGAAATCTTCAGAAAAGTACAGTGTTGATATGAAGAAAGCAGATTCATATGAATTAGTAATTTCGAAAGTATGTAACGCTATTGGTGAAGAGGTGTCTACTACATCAAAAATGAGGCTTTTTAATGGAAGGGGGTCATTATTCCTAATCAAAAATTTAAAGATGATGACTGGAGTCTTGGGGCGTATTTACTAAAGAGACATGCATTACCAAATAAGATTATTCTGGGAGTTAAAGTTGTTGACATTGAACCAAGACCTAAAAGAACCAAAGGTATGATACCATTGACTGTATGTTTGTTTTGCTATATGCACAGTTGATGATTGTGTAGTTCTTGATGTAGCCACCCGACCAAATCCCTATAGTCTTTCTTTAGTAGCAGATGAAAATGATGCTTTTGAAAGTAATAATGTGCATGCATTATATTTCTTATACTTAGAATATTAGTATGTTATTCTGATGAGAACAGTATTGTTCCTTGTACTCGTGGTGAGGTTAGGAAGAATGAAAATGGTCCAGAAAATGCAATGGATAAGCATGGTATATTTCAACCAGAAGGTTTTTTATGAAGTTGCATCTATTAGCTTAATACAAAGAAATTGTGAGATGCATGTAAAGTTTATATTGGATTTAATGAATTTTTACTTTTATAAGGCTCGAATAAAGCAATTTTACAGCCTACTGCTTCTGGTACTCTAAAGCCTTGCAACTTTAATGGTATGATAGCTAGATGTTATTAATGTCTTTAATGATATTGTTTAGGGACGTCCATTATTTGTTTTACTAGTTTTAAAGAACCTGTTATAACATCCACAGAGCCAATTCCTCTTGTTGCATTAGCCAGATGTCATCCAGATTGTACCTATAAGTGGAATTGTGTCGGTTATTGTGACATGGAGTTTCCATCTACTCCAGTAATTTATGTGTCTAAACCCATGCTGTACAAATGCTGTGTCTATATTGATGGGAAAAAATCATGAAGTGCTCATTTTGATGTAACTTTTCAACGAAGCATTGGTAATTTTAGGCATCTTCCAATTAGCATTATTTTATTTTTTTCAATGTAGACATGCAGTATGACTGTCACAATGATTCTCTTCCCCCTCCTCTTCCTCCTCCTATACAGTCTGCCTCATCTGCCCCTAATATGGAAATACTGTCTATTCCTGCTCCAAAAGGTACATATCTTTAAAATTATTATAATCATGTAAGTTTTTATAGTTGATTCTATTGAATCCACTATGGAAGAGATAGTTACTGCAACAAACCATTTGGATAATTGAAATGAGCTTGGAAAGGGTGGCTATGGCAATGTCTATTTAGCCAATAATTTGGGCTCTATTGGAACAAAGGCAGCAGGAAAAATTCTGACAAAAGTTAACTTATTATGATTATGACATGCAGCACAATGGTTTGTTAATTTCAAATAGGAAGGGTCAGATGTACTAGGTAAAGAAGGTTTAGCCTCAATGCAAATTACAGCTGAGCTAAAAGCACTTATGAAGTTTGGAACAAATAAAATAGTTATATTAATTTTTTTATAATGAATTTTAGATTTTGGCATCCCAATATTTTAGACATAATGGGTTACTGTTTCTCTCCCCAAATTCAAGCTATTGTTTACTCTTATATTGAAAATGGCTCTCTATATTCCTGGATTCATTGAGCCAGTTCATTTCAGAAATTTTCGATTATTCTTTTCTTAATAGTCCCAGTCTTCTAAATTAGGTTAGCTGCTTAGGATTTCAATTTTCAAAGATGTTTTTAGAGGTATTGCATACCTTTATGCTGGATGCCTTATTCATAAAGATATTAAATCGTGAGTACTGTACTAGCAATTGAGTATATTTATAATAACTGTAGTAGTAATATTTTACTAGACAAGGATTTCAGGGCTATTGTTGGAGATTTTGGTTTTTCCTTAGAGCTACCGCAACAAGAATCAGGACGTTCACAGATTACTGCTCCAGTAATGGCAAAGACGGAAGGATATTTTCCCCCAGAGATAATTTCTGGAAAAATATCAACATTGTCTGACGTCTATAGCTGTGGTGTGGTTAGTAGTGTCCATTATTGTATTATGGTTATTATAATGAACAAAATAAAAGCTGACACTGTAGGTGTACACAGGCTTGAAACCATACTGTAATAAAAGAGAAGATCATGAACTAGTGAGATATTCTCATTTACTATTCCTAGCTATTATGATTTAAACATTAGTTATGCCACACAGAAGATGAAAGATGCGACATAGCTAAAATTAAAGCAATTGCTGATACAAGAGTGCCTGAATCGATAAGTGATCAGGATTGTGAGAGATTACAATTCATCATTAATAGCTGTCTCTCAAGGTACACAAAGCGTCCTGCTAATAAAGTAAGCTAACATAAATGTGGTAATTAGTATTTATCAATGTATATAGGTATTAAAAATGTTGGAATCCAGTCCATTTACAATTAGTAATGTTAACTAAGTACCACTTAACAAACTCTTCAACTGACACATTTAATAATCAAACATTGTTGATCAAATACTTGTAAATAGATACACAGTTTTCAGCAGTTATGTCACTTCTATTAATCCCAATATCTCTTAGTAATTGGTTAGCTCATATCTCAAATACATGTGAATAAAACCTTGGAATAGCTTTACTTTCCTTCTCCATAGCATAAATCCAGATTTATACGTTATGAACTGAATGCAGGTAGTCACTCACTCCTACATACAATATTTATAGTCTAAAATTGCATTGGTACAAAAAATTACTTCTAACCATTGCTATTTGGCATCTCATACATATCGTTGGGAATGCCAGATGGAAGTAAGGTTTTGAGTTGGAAAGTATGGGATAAGTATTCCATTCTATTCTAAATTCCTCTAATTCCATTTCAATCACATAACCCATGCAGTATGCCCCACAATATCTACGAATTGTAAATCTCAGTACAATTCATGATTGAATTACTTGTTCTTTGAGATCCATCGAAGTAATTGGATTCTTTAAGGTCCTAAAGATTGAGAAATCAACATTTTCTGATATGCTATAAGAAAAGTACTATACCTTGAACAGATTGATCAACCAGGTAGTCTTAAATCTCCAAAATTGAGACCACCAACCTTCAATTCTCTAGCATTATGAAAAGAAAACATAATAGTATAAAAGATACGACACTCAACATTTCTTTTAGATGGTCCATATATGTACGATGACTCACGCAGACCAGACATATGGAAAGCGATATGAATAGATGCAATTGTGCAATTCTCTGTACCATAATCTGATCGTATAAACTTAAGCACACCTACATATGTAATATAAGTTTATGATAATCTATACTGAACATCTTTACCACCAAATTCCTCAACAGCCTCTAAATAAAATCTTGATATTACTTTCGGATCATGGTTGGTAGGAGTCAGTTTCAACCATAACAGCTTTCGTGAATATCTGCCATTAAATTGAAGAACTCTAAAAACCATAAAAAGTAACCAACTAACCCATCAATACAACCATGTATGTCAAATCCATAATGAGTTACCTTATCATAGCTATCTAAGTGCCATACAAAATTGGGACCCTAAAAACAAAGTGACAAAACAACATCGTTGTCATCAATTTATTTTATCACCTTTGAATAGTACTGCCTTCTTTTCAAACTCTTAGATTTACGTAGAGCCCCATCTTCAGGGTCTAACTCCTGCAAAACTTTCATTACAGTTGATCTAAAAGAAACCATCAAATTTATATATATATATATATATATATATATAATTATAGTACCTTTTCACATGAATATTGCTAATGTGCCTCCACATGGCTCTGTAACCTAATAACTGAGATGAAGAGCGTAGCTCTCTACCAATGACAGCTTTTACTGTATCTATATCAGTACATAATTTGTGTCTTGCTAAACCAAGATTTTTTATTTGCAATTTTAACCAAATTAAACTATACAAGAAATATTTCAATTGTACACAGGCACACATACGGCTTAAAAAGGACAGACACCTCCTTTTAATACCATGAACTTTATCAAGCTGCTTCTGCATCAGTTTGTAGCTTCTGCCAGAGTCAAAATAGGTTCTTATTAACCCTAAAAAATATAGAAGAATAACTTCACAACAATAACCACCTAACCATTAATCTTCTTCTTAGAACCACCAGTAGAAACATTGGTCGACGCCATTTTCAAGGTTAATAATTGAGAAAGACCCATTTCACTCGTTAACGGGTGTCTCCGGAGACGCTGACGGGTGTTACCGCAGCTGTTGCGTGGGAGATGAACTGTGTCCGTCAACAAATTATACTTCTGGGCCACCGTAGGAAAGCGAGTTTCCATTTTCAGAGGACCTCTTAAGCAAACCAGTAAGGACTCTGAAGACTAGGAGTCAGAAGAGAGCACAGCGAAACAGTCATGGACTGGAGAGAGCAAAGGATCAGAAGCCGAAGAAGATGGAGGTTCCTCTCAGCAGGGAGGTGCTACTTCAGTTACTGTCTACAGATGTAATGCTGGAAAAAATACGAGCTGTCTGTGAAGAGAGGTCTGACGGTGTGGAGGATGGTTACTTTAAGAAAGATAGTCTGATTTTTAGACGCTGGATACCTCCCCGCCAAGGTGGTGAGACCACCATTGATCAGCTGGTGCTACCCAAGGAGTGTCGTCAGTTGATTTTGTACACTGCACACACTATTCCCTCTGCAGGTCATTTGGGCAAGAAGAAGACCGTGGAGAGGATTCTCAGAAGTTTCTATTGGCCAACTATATACCGTGATACAGCTGATTTCTGTTGTAGCTGTGAGATTTGTCAGAAGACATCGCATCATAAGTCGCCAAGAGCTCCAATGATCCCCTTACCTGTCGTGGACATACCATTCTCCCGAGGAGTAGGGCAGGACATCGTTATGTCCTGGTGGTGTGTGACTATGCTACACGGTATCCAGAGAGTTCCCCTACAATCTATTGACACTGAAGCAATTGCAGAAGAGCTGGTGAAGATTTTCTCTAGAATGGGAATTCCTCACGAGATCTTAACAGATCAGGGAAGTAACTTTAACTCTTAATTACCAGTAGAGATATATCGATTACTTCATGTGAATGCTATTCGGACCAGCCCCTATCATCCTCAGACAGATGGTTTGGTGGCAAGGTTTAATCGAACTCTCAAGGGAATGCTGAGGAAAACTGCATGTGAAGAGGACAAAGATTCATACCCTATGTTCCGTTTGCTTTTTGAGAGGTACCACAAGAGACTACAGGGTTCTCTCCCTTTGAACTATTGTTTGGTTGAGAGGTTCAAGGAAACACTAGATGTGCTGAGAGAATCATGGGAGCCAGCTTCTAAAAGTGATATGAATGTGGTGTCTCATGTACTTCATATGAGAGGGAAGTTTGAGAAAGCATTAGAAGTGGTACAGGAGAAATCTAAACAAACTCAAATTCGTCAAAAGACATGGTACGACAGAACAGCAAGACAACGTAAGCTAAAGAAGGGAGATCAAGTGCTGGTGTTACTTCCCACTTCCTCATTCCAAACTGTTAGCTCAGTGGCAAGGTCCGTATCCTGTCATTGAAGCTGTATGATCGTAGAAAGAGGAGGATATTTCATGTGAATATGTTAAAGAGTGGCACACACCTACTAGTGTTAGTTACTTCGCTAGTGAGGAGACAATGGAGGAGATTCCTGTATGGAATGATGGGGGAGGAGCTCCAGTCATGGGAGACCAGCTCACAGGTCCTCAACAACAGGAACTCTTATCATTGCTGATGACAAGGTTTGGTGACGTGATGCAGTCAACTCCAGGATGGATGGAGGTGTGTCATCATCAATC